GACCTGGAGATCAAAAGAGAGACAAATATTACTCATGCTCTAAACCTTCCCTGACACTACGGTTTATGATAGGTAATTTTCTACAATTAAATAATATTATTTGAAAGTGATTGTGTCATCATCTCTCTTAAATGTTTCTCATTTATGGTTGCATCATCAGTACTGTATCTGTGCAGTATGTACAATCAATGCTTATATCGCTTAGGAATCTTCTGGATAGTGGTTCAAAGACAGGCTCCATAGTTTGCTGAGAGAGCAAATGTCACAGGAAGAGAGAGTGAGGAATGAAAGAGGAGCCAGTCTAAAAGAAAGAGAAATAACGATTAGAGATGGAGAGCATGGATTATGAGAGGTCCACACGGAAGACGTGGTGGAAGGAAAGAGATCATCTGCACTAGAGTGGAGGGGGAGGAGGCAAATTAAATGGCTTTGAATTTAATAGAAAGAATAGAATAGAATAGATAAAGCAATGGTTATTAATGTAAGAGAGATGTGGGATTTCATATGGAAAATATTGGAAAGGTGTGAAATAAGTTATGCCAGAATTGTGAGAGAAAGGCCATCGCTACAGGTGATCAAAGGTTCGACTATACAGTGCACAAGTACAGGTGGAGAGCCTTAAGTAGTGGCACTTTAATATTTTAATAACTGTCCTGCCTGGGATCTGGACTGACCCCAGGAAAATGTCATGTTTATTTCATGCAAGCTCATTGACTCAAGAATATCGTGGATGCCTGATGGATCATTCTTGAGGCTGCAGTAGAGACTAAAGTCCAAAGAAGGCCCAGGTTGGGGCTTCTAGGAGTGAGCGATCTCTACACTCTATTAAAAAGACAAATCCAGGAAGAATGAAAGAGTAGGACAGTCAAAGAAAACAGAATGTGGTCTTTGAGATGTAAAGATGCAGCTATTAATCATTCTTTTCAGCCAGTCTAATGTTATCAAAGATCCATGCCAACTTTGCAGTTCGATGAAAGCTTCTAGCGGGGTTTCCATGTCATGCTCTGCAGGAGTGCTCACTGCATGCTCCTTGTAAGCTCCGTTTGTCTTCCTAGGACCTGATTATGATATGCAGGCTCACAGAGCGAATGCGTGCTTTATTCAGCACATTGTGTTTCGTGTCATTGGTTGCAAACCCTATAACGTTCTACCACTTACCCCACTTCCTCTCTGTTTGCTGTTTACATTCCTTATTATTCCCTAACCCTTCTGAATATTGTCCTTGGGTAACCCTCAAATGGGTGATGATTCTGAGGCATGCAGATTTCACTCATGTTATTATTCCATTTCAAGTCTTGTCTTTTGTTTGTAGAGATTTAATTTTCAGCGTGACTTTATTTCCAGACCTGAAGGGTGACCAAAGACCATAAGTCTTGAGCATTCCATCTTTCTTGATATGGCCAATCACCTGGGTATTTTTTGAATCTGAGGGGGTTTGGGGGGCATTTTTCTCCCAGTCTACCCAGGACCTTCTGATATGATCTCTCCCGAAAGCGTTGGCAGTGGCACTTGGGCAACATTTAGTTCCTCTGGTGTCAGAGCCACGGAGGCTGATGCCCCATGGTCCACTAGTCCAGCTGATTGCTTCCATGTGTCAGTGATGTTCTTCACTCTCCTTCCCTCCAGATGGAGAAAGACCAGTAATTGCATGCCTTTTAGATGACTGCTCGCAAGCTTAAAAATCTCTATCTCCGCTCACCAATGTCGGCCTATCCTTACTCGTTGCTATTTGCCACACAATCCTAGACACTCATGACCTACACATTTATTGACTTTGAGGATCTTTTTGAAAATCTATCATTAGTGCTAATGCCTGTATATTCAGTAAATTTATCTTTCCTGTTGTAACCTTCCTGTGTTTTAAAATGCATCCCATGTGTTCAACTTGACCCTATTTTAGAATGACAATTCCAACTGGAATCTCGCAGGGATTTAACAAAGAAAGTAATTAGCCTTGCAAACTAAATTTAAGAGATCCAAGACCATAACCCTGTACAATCAGTATGTTGATATATATTACTTAAGGTGAAATTATGTGTGTGTGTGTGTGTATGTGTGTGTACTCACACACGGGATACATACATAGTTGTAGCTGAAATAATCTTTAAATCTTATTCAGGTAAAGCTTAAACTAGAGAGCAAAATTACCACTCCTGTAGTTTTAGACTTAATTGTGGCATGACCTGATTTAGCAGAGTGGGAAGTAAACCAATTAGCAAACTTTGATTTTGATTGGCCCGTACAATAATATCCTAAATATAATCAGTCAACTGTAAGTGCTCTGTATTCAACCAGAGGCAATATTTGAATTTGAGCCTGAAAAACCACAGCCTCCACGCCTCCATTGACGGGAACTGGCTGACCTTCACACCCTGCTAGCATCCCTTTGAGAGAAGGAATAATAATATCATGTTTCTATTAATAATATTATTATAACAATAATAATAGTAACTGAGAATTATTGTGTATTCACTGGATTTCAGTCTCTCTGTTCTTTCTCACATTTTCAAACCCACGTCAGAGCTAGTCTTAATTAGCCCAGTTTATAGACTAAAACAATAATAACAAGAATAACTCTGAAAATCAGTTTCTCTGGCAAACCATAGCATGTAGTAAACATATCACATATGCATTGCAGATAAATCTATGATTTTAAGTATGCTAGTGATAAAAAATGTAGAACAGATTAAATTTCCCAGCATAATGCTTGCTAATGAATAATTAACTAAAAATAAGCAATCTATTAACAGTGGAAAGGATCATTATTTCAGCACAACTGTATGGATTTTTCAAAGGGATGAAATTATGTTTCAAAAAATGAAATTCACTATAAACTCAGACATGTAACCATCAGAAGAACATACATCCTATTGTGTAACATAGCCAATAAGTAATTGTGCCCCTTATCATAGAAGCTTCAGACAATTTTGCCAGGTTTAGGATTTACACTCATGTTTTTTACATCATTTTTGTAGTACTAGTTTCCAGAAGAATAAGTTAATATCCAACTTTTTTCCTTTCATCTCGGTTATTGAAAATGTGTGTGAAATAGCTTCCCTCTTCCCACAGGGGAGGCCCTTCACCCACACCTTCCTGGAGTGGAAGAGAAAAGAGAGGGAGATGTGGTCGAAAATTGGGGGAGGGAATACATCTTCTTTAAATAACGAATAAAGGAGGGCAGGAAGTGGTATGTGAAGGAGAAACATTTTCGCCTTAGATAAACGATTTACCCCAACTCTTCCATCAAAAATAAAAATGGGTTTCCCATTGGCTTCCTGTTGACCATATTTTCCTCTATGGGTATTTTTTCATGATCTCAAGGGATCCTACATTGTCACCGATGCTTCTTGACATTGCCTTTTTCTCTTCTATCAAATTCAATTATTTGTGTCTTTTCAATGGAAGACAATTTCAAGCATTTAGAACTTAAGAAGATTTTTGTCATAGAGAAATATAAGTCCGATAAGTTAAAATTAAACATGTGTGAACTACATTAGTATTTTTGGAAATTATATCATCTATTTACATGTGCGATACCATTAAAGATGACTTTTGACTAAGGAATTATGTATTCTTTTTTAAACTGATAATTTTATATTCACTACTTTGGTTCTTCCTTATCGCAGACTTTGCTTTCTCTGCATTAGTGTAAGTCATGCAGAAGTAAGTTAAAGTGATGCGACGTCTAGAGGTACTTATTTAAGTGAGATCACGTGTGCAAGGATATGAGCCATATTGAATATTGTGAGGCCATTCATGCTGCTATTTTGTTGTTATGGTGAAATATATAGCATGGGTATTTAATTTTCTTGAAACATCATTAATCAACATTAATAAACATCTCCAGTTTAAGTCAGCTTCACATTTTATATTATTAAAACATTTTAAAATCAGCTTAAAGGTATTCATAGATTCTCTGATATTTCTAGTATAAAAGATCAGTTTGACAAAGAAGGCATTGGAAACCGATATTTATCAAAGAACCATATATTTTGAAGAGCAAGATGATAAAATAGCCTTCACTCTAGTAGTAGTTTAAATGAAATCAATTGCTAATATACTTATTAGAAAGCATGAAATCATGAATATACTATATACTTCTCTAGCTTATAAGCACTGAACATGAGCCATTTTCCTACTTTGACTTTACTCATTCAGACTCTGACAGTGGGCCCAGCTCAATGAGCAAAGGCTTCTCTCTCAACAGTCTCTAGGGTTACATGTCTGAGCTGCTGCTCCTCTCTGGATAGACTTTAGTTTCAATGTGCATTTATGTGTTTGTGTGTTTTATTTACTTGCCACCTGCATGGTGGAATTAAATTCAAGGTATTGAAAGTTTTTTCAAAGTTTGATTATATTTTCCTTTTAGATAATTAAACCAAGGACTTGTTTTGCCTTTGCAAATCCAATTACTTTGAAAGCTGTAGGGTTTTGTGTAAAAATCTCTAGGAGTTATTCACAGCCTAAAGCCACAGGAAACCAGTGACTACATGCTATTAAGCCACTAAAGATAGTCTTTGTGCCTGAATTTGTCATCCTTGACTGTCCCTCCTCTAAAAAATGCTGTGGTATTCTTTTTTATTATTATTCCTTTTCAAAGGTATCTAAGGGTGTTTTAGAAATTTTACAGGAATTGCAGACATTAATTGGTGCCAACTGGAAGGAGGACCACATGATTAAGCTATTTATCCATTCGGCTGATGTTCTGGAAAATGTATACCAAAAGTTGAAAATGATGAAGAAAAAGTTTAAATGCACAAATACAAAAAATATTTAGTTAGAAATTGCCTTAGACCTTTTTCTTCAGCTTTGTAGTTGGCAAATGACCTCAAAGTCTAGTATTGTCTTGAAGATTGTTTTTCTCTGTAAATGTAATATTGACATCTGTTTGGAGGGAATGAACACGTGCTCGGACGAGTTTGGACTCCATTTGATTAGTAATGATGCTGGCATTCTTATTCACATCTTTCAACCTTTTTTTTTCTTCTCTCTTTTTGCAGTTTTACTAAAGGGAGGAAAAAAAGAGGAAGAGAAACCATTTAGAGACTGTGCAGATGTATATCAAGCTGGTTTTAATAAAAGTGGAATCTACACTATTTATATTAATAATATGCCAGAACCCAAAAAGGTAAAACCAGAAGTGTTTGTTTACGAGATGTAAAGCAGATCCTAGTAGAATTGCTGTATCAGACTGATTTGTGAGCTTGTTAAACCAGAAGGATATTTGCCTGAGCCCTTATCTCCCAGAACACTCTGTGTCGCAGGTCTCTAGTGGAGGCAAACCCTCCTACGTTGACTTCACCATCCCTCTGTCACACCCAGTCTGCTCTTGTACTGTGTCCTCAGCCTCCGTGCATTTCTGGACACCCCCTTGTCCGTGTGTGCTCAGCATGTGCAGATCCGTTTCTAGACCACACATGTCTGGAATGCAGTATATCCTCGACAATCCAAACACTGGGAGAAGGGAACAGAGGACATATTGCTATTTGTAACTCCTTCTTAGCTAACCAAATCCAATACCATCAAGCAGAGTCTAACACCACAGGGTGGAACTGCCTCATTGGGATCCCAAGGTTTCACATCTTTATAGGGACAGACTGCCAAATCTTTCTCCCAAGGAGCAGCTAGTGGGTTTGAACCACCAACCTTTCTGGTAGTAGCTGAGCTCTTCACCACTACACCACCAGGGCCCCTTTTGCTCCTATCTGGATAGGAAGACCACATACTATCCTTACCCATAATCTTGAAAGGTTTTTATTCTTGTATTTACAAAAAAAGTCTGAGTTGGGAGATCAGGTTCATCAGAGTGCTGAACAGGACCCAATGTGAACTTTGAAGTTAGTAAGCATCATCTTCCCTCTGTCACTTCTCCTTTCTGTATTCTTCCCATTTATTCAGAACCGCATCCACCCATACCTTCGTTCAATACATAGTAAGTGAGTATCATTCGTCAGTCACTGGCCAGGGACACATAGATAAAACAAACAGTGCCAAGTATCAGGGGAAGACAGACAGCTGCACAATGCCAAAGACATAGTGGTGAGGCATCTATGCCAATTTCAAACAAGGCAGATGGGAAACCCTGAGGTGAGACATTCAAGGAGAGTGGAATGAGAGACTAACACCTGATCCCTGATATGCCAAAACTCTTGCAAGATGCCCAGGGCTCAAAAGGTCCCTTTACTTTCTCTGCTCCATCTTCAAAGGGTTGGACAGCTCTCCCCCATCCCCCTCTCACATAGCCTGGTGGCATTGTCAGGTAAGGATTGGACTGTAAACAGCCAGGTTGGATGTTCAAACCCACCAATTGCTCCTCAATGCCGTTGAAGCCCTCTAGAAGGGCGCTGTGAGTCGAGCTTGACTTGTTGGGGGTAGATTTGGTTTTATGTCTCCATTTCTTCCAGGCTATGTGAAAAATGCTCTTGGGAGACCTTCCTTGATTTCTCCATACAACTTTGCATGGCTTTCTAGCAACTTCTACAACGAGGGACTGTGCTTTGAATCTTTCTTTCTCAGGAGCTTAGCATAGTCTCCGACACAAAGGAGAGTCTGTCAGGAAATATGTGCTGGGATTAATGAATGAATACATGACCAGTCAGAGCCGGGGTTCTCAACCTTCCCAAGGCTCTGACCCTTTCATACACTTCCTCACGTGGTGGCGACCCCCCAGCCATCCAATTATTTTTGTTGCTACTTTATCGCTGTCAGTTTGCTACTGTTATGAATTGGGTGAGCCCTGTGAAAGCGTTGTTCGACCCCCAGAAGGGTCACAACCCACAGGTAGAGAACTGCTGGGTTAGATGATAGGATCAATACTACTGCATAGTACAGTAGGCAAGCTCACCTTAACCCAAACTCACCGCCCTCGGGTCAATTGTCACTCATAGTGATCTCCAAGGAGAAAACAGAACTTCCAGTGGGTTCCTGTCAATGTTTCCATGAGAAAAAAGTCCTGCCTTTTCCCCAGGGAGCGGTTGGTGGTTTGTCACTACTGGCCTTTTGGAGAGAAGCACAATTCACTACCTATTATGACCCGGGCTTCGAAGCTTATCTTACTTCCTTTCATTGTGAGTCTTTGGCTAGATAAGGAAAATGTATCTTGGGGTCAGCTTGCCAAGTGTCACGTTGTCATTGTCCAAAGGAGGAGTGTGGTCTCTAACCGATATCATCTGATCAACTTCTTTTCACCACATCCTCTTTCTCCATAGTTTTCAACTCAGAAAGCAGACTCATGGCCATAGAGTGGATTCTAACTCGCAACAAACCTCTAGGGCAAAGGAGAACTATCCCTGTGGGTTTCTGAGACTATAACTCTTTAAAGTCTCATCTTTCTTCCCTGGAGCAGCTGGTGGTTTCGAACAGCTGACTTTGTCCTATATCACCTGGGGCTCCTTTGATTTCAACAAAATCCGGTGAAACCTGTGAGAACCGAATATCCTATCCCCCTTACCCACCCCCGACTCTGCTCTGGGCTGTCTGGTTGCCTTGAGTTTTTCAGGTCTTGAAACCCTTCTGCCTTTGACAGGCTACCCTGTCTGACCACTCTCTTGAGCAAAAAGAAAAAAAAGGAGTTTTCTTTCTCTGAGAAATGTTCATCTTGCACAGTTCACGACTTTCACAGATTTACTATATAAGTGACTTAAAGTAACGCACATTCCCCTCTTTTCTGAGAGCAATGTTTTGAAGGGTTTCTGTGTCCTTCTTACACGATGTTGCAGGCAAGAGCACGAGTGAGTGCAGGCAGGGGAAAAGATGGCAAACACATCCCGAAATTTGCCATCTACCAGAGATGCCTGGTTTTCACCGTGCGCTTCTTTGCAAGGTTTCATTGAATCAAATGTCACATGGCATTTTAAAAACCCAGCCAAACAGAAAAGAAACTGTAAAGGCAGAATAGTGAGGGCAGAAGGGAGATTTCCTTTATTTCAGAGGAACCCTTTGCATTCCCTCTTTATGAAAGAGATGCAGCTCTCTTAATTTGCTTGATTTTCTAATATCACATTTGGTATTATATTTCATTGTTCACTCATTCACTCAGTCCCCATGCTCACATTGTCACGCACTCACATATAACCTAGAAAGTATGTCTGGAATGATCCTAGGTAAGAGGCTTACAGTAAAAATAAACACTCCCTGCTTTGGTGGAATAAAGTTTATGAAGGACTACTAACGATGAGGTGGGCAGTTCAAAACCACAAGCTGCACTGCAAGAGAAAGGTGTGGCTTTCTACTCCCATAAAGAGTCAGAGTCTTGGAAAGTCACAGGGGCAGTTTTACCCTGTCCTGTAGGGTTGACACCGTCACAGTAGCAGTGTGTTTGCCTGTTTTTTTGTGAGGAGTGAGTGAGTGAGTGAGTGAGTGAGTGAGTGAGTGAGTGAGTTTGGTGTAACTTATTTGGGAGTCTCAAGATGGTATAAATATTTCAGCGCTAAACTGCTGGCTAGAAGGCTGGAGACTCCTGTCTAGCCAGAGGCACTTTTAAAGAAAGATCTAGCAATCTCCTTGTGAAAAGTTAGCCATTGGAAATGCTATGATGCACAGTTGACTCGCATTCACATAGGAGGGACCAAAGGTAGAATCCACCTGTGGGTAATGAGTTTAGTTTGTTGTTTGGTTTTTCTTATCCGTAATAATACCTAGGAGCTCTCAATGTTTCTAAGTTGTTCTTGATTATAAAATTAAAACTAGCAAGACATATTAAGTGAGGCCCATTTAATCTCCTAAAGATTCTAAGAATGTAAAAATAAAATAATGTCAGGTTTTCCCATGGAAAGCATTTATATTCTTGGTTTCTTGTATGTTTTATCACTAATACTACCCACGTGTCATTCCTGGGTTGGGAGATATTCCCACGAAATACAATTTTCATTATTCTACAAATATTTACTCAGGTATGGCCCTTGCTATTTTTCAAACCATTTTGAGATACAAAGGCTATGTGGTCCCTAGCGAGATGACAGCTCCCACATGGGTCTTATCAAGATAAACTCACTGCCATCAAGTCAAGCCTGACTCCTAGTGACCCTTTAGCTGAGGCTAGACCTGCCCCTGTGGGTTTCCTAGACTATAACTCTGTGGGAGGAGACAGTCTCCGCTTTCTCCCGCAGAGCAGCTGGTGGTTGATGGCTCAGCATGTAATCCATTATGCTCCCTGGGCTCCGAGAATGATTTAATTTTTTATTTCAATAAAATCAGATTTTTCATACCATGGGGCTTGAGAGTTGTTTTTGAATAAATTAAATTTAAAATATTAAATTGACAAATGTCAACTAGCTGCTGGATTAAATTCAGGGCTGAGAGAAAGTAGTAGCGGTCATGTTAGCAGTCACGTCAGTAAAGGCCTATGGGAGATGAATTTTGTCACAATAGACATGGCCCTTGTGGCTATTGAGAGGGAAGAAGGTGAAGTTCACAGGTTATCTAGTTAGGACTAGCTTTAGATAGCTTTGTTGGAAATCCTAGCAGAGCATGGTGGAAGGGGATAATTTTCTTATTTTATTTGCTATGTATTTGTGTCGTGTTAACTGGTAATTATTATTTATAAAAGGTGAAACTCTGATTATGGAGTCTCTCATAGGTAGTGATGGCATTCTTTATGTAGAAGAAAGATCCCACAGAGTGACAGACCTGCATTTGTTATAGTTTAGTGAACTCTGTTGCAAGTCCCATTTCCTAATCCCGTAGCATGGCATGACCAGTAAAACCATTTCACAACCATTGAGGATGCTGACCCATTGTGACTGTGTAAAACCAGCAGAAACAGCCCCTGTGAGTTTGCAAGGCTGTCATCACCATGGGAACAGAATGCCTCCTCTTTCTGCCACTTAGCAGCTGCTGAACTCCAACAGCTTCTTTTGCGGTTGGCTGCTGAGTGCATAGCCCTGTACCACCAGGGCTTCTTAGTAAGAGCCGACTCCTCAAAGTAAATCAGAAGTTAATCAATGCAATGGTTCAACTGTATTGTGCATTTATATTTTGCCAAGCTCTCTTCTACACACTTGGGGCACCCATACTCACCTTCTCTTTTCAACAACCCTGCACAATAGGTGCTCCTTCGATCCCTCGTAACTCACTCCAGTCATATCATGAATGATAGACAGAATTTGAGACCAAGCAACCTAAATCCAG